AAGATAAGACCCACCAAAACTGAAACGAAAAGGTGGGTCCCCAAGATGAGACCTACCAAACCTGAAATGGATAGGTGGGTCCCCAATCGAAGACCCATCAAAACTGAAACTGACAGGTGGGTCCCCAATCGAAGACCCATCAAAACTGAAACTGATAGGTGGGTCCCCAAATTCAGACCCACCAGAACTAAAATGGAAAGGTGGGTTCACAACATGAGACCCACCAAAATGGAAACTGCTAAGTGGGCTCCAAAAACCAGACCCACTGCAAAAGCAGATCTGGCTATTGGAGAGCCCACAAGAGAAAGAACTTTTGTTGAAAGAGCTGCTGACCTTGGATCACAGCTCAAAGCAAGATTTAGAAAGGTGTTTCTTGATAATAAGGAAGGACCCACTCCAAGTTGGGTACCTAAACCTGTTTGATTGTTTTGCAGGACGGTCATGTGTGGCACTTAGACTCAGGATGCTCAACCCACATGACCGGAATAAAGCACCTTTTGAGAAACTATACCAACTGCTACGGAGGCAATGTCAGATTCGGGAATGACGCCTCATCTCCTATTCTTGGGTATGGGGACGTCGTCTGTGCCAGTGTCACTATAAAAGACGTTTCATTTGTCAAAGGCTCAAACATAACTTACTGAGCATAGGACAATTTTGTGACAGCGGAATGGAAGTGAGGTTCTTTGCAAAACAATGCTGTGTTCTTGACAGCATAGGGAATACATTATTAACGTGTTACAGAACATCAAATCTGTACACTATTGATCTGAAAAGCGTCCAATCCACCACTTCCATCTGTCTGTTGTCCAAAGCTTCAACTGAACAGAACAACCTATGGCATAGACGTCTCTCCTATATGAACTTCAAACATCTATCAACCTTGTCCTACAAGAAACTTGTCAAGGGGCTTCCTCTGCTAAAGTCTTCCGCTGAAAATCATTGTAGTGCCTGCAAAATGGGCAAAATGACGCGAAGCTCCCACAAGTCAAAAACTGAACCATCATCTACACATCAGTTGCAGCTAATTCACATGGATCTGTGTGGACCTATGAGAGTCCAAAGCATCAACGGTCGCAAATACACTCTGGTGATCGTTGATGACTTCTCTAGGTATACATGGACAAAATTTCTCCGTTCAAAAGACGAGGCTGCAGAAAACATTATGACCTTTATCAGAACCATCCAGAAACTGCTACAGCACAGTGTTCGAATTGTTAGAACTGACAATGGTACCGAGTTCAAAAATCAAACTCTCACTGAGTTCTATGAATCACTCAGTATCACTCAGCAATTTGCAGCAGCTAAAACTCCCCAACAGAACGGAGTTGTTGAGAGAAAGAACAGAACCCTTGTTGAAGCAGCACGCACCATGTTAATCCAATCCAGACTGCCTCACTTCATGTGGGCAGAGGCAATCAATACTGCGTGCTTCACTCAGAACAGAACATCCATCCATAAACGCTTCGACAAGACTCCATATGAAATCCTATTCAACAGAACTCCCGACATCTCTTTCTTCAAGGTTTTTGGCTGCAAGTGCTTCATACTAAATGATCGGACAGAGAGAAGTAAGCTGGATCCCAAAGCCAGAGAATGTGTGTTTATTGGCTACTCACTGCAATCCAAATCTTACAGAGTCTATCTCAGAGACAAGCGCACTGTCATCGAGAGTGTAAATGTTACATTATATGAAATGGCAGACTTTGCGACCGAACATCTACAGACTGATCCATCAACTGCTATACCAGTAGCTTCTAATAAAGCTGAACCAAACACCGAACATGAAGATGTGATTCTCGACTCTCTCTTCAGAAACTTCTACGAGAACTCACAACCTCCGCCTCCTGCATGCACTCCAGCTTCAACATCAACTCCTACTGCAGAGATTCCGCTCCTCACAGGACCAGACGATGTACCATCCACACCATCAACCCCTCAAACCAATCCCAGAGGTGTGGATGATCACGGCTTTGCTACGAGTTCAGAATCATCTCCATTACACACCACAGCTGCCCCAGAGCCTTCAACCTCTTATCAGGACTCCGATCAACCAATAATTAATCCAACTCCTCTAGCTCATGAGAGGAAGTGGACGAGAGCACATCCCATGGAACAAATAATAGGTGATCCGAGTCAAGGTGTGCGCACAAGATCCGCAACGATGAATGAATGCCACTTCGCATGCTTCGTAAGCCAGTCAGAACCATCAAAGGTCTCCGAGGCACTACTTGATCCAGATTGGGTGATTGCTATGCAAGATGAACTCAATCAATTTGACAGACTGGATGTATGGTCACTGGTACCCAGGCCTCAGAGAAAGACAATCATTGGCACGAAGTGGGTATTCAAAAATAAAAGAGATGAAGAAGGAACAGTTGTAAGGAACAAGGCAAGGCTGGTCGCAAAGGGATATAATCAACAGGCAGGCATAGACTACGATGAAACGTTTGCGCCCGTAGCTAGAATTGAAGCAATCCACCTCTTTCTTGCATACGCGGCGCACAAAAACTTCACCGTCTTTCAGATGGACGTGAAAACAGCTTTTCTAAATGGGATTTTAGAAGAAGAAGTCTATGTCGCTTAACCAGAAGGATTTGTAGATCCAAAATTCCCAGACCATGTATACAAGCTCAAGAAAGCTCTCTATGGGTTGAAACAGGAACCCAGAGCTTGGTACGATGCCTTTACCGAATTTTTGATCGATTCAGGTTTCTCAAAAGGAAAGATTGATACTACTCTATTTATCAAGCGACAGAAGTCTGACATTATCCTGATTCAGATCTATGTTGATGACATCATCTTTGCCTCTTCAAATCCGCGACTGTGCCAACACTTTGAGAAACTGATGAAAACAAAGTTCGAGATGAGCATGATGGGTGAACTTAACTTCTTCTTAGGCCTGCAAGTAAGACAACTCTCTGATGGCATTTTCATCAATCAGTCCAATTACATTCTGGATATGCTAAAGAGATTCAACATAGAAGGCAAATCTTCCATGACGACCCCCATGTCCCCAAACAACAAACTGGACTCAGACCCCTCCGGGAAGCCAGTTGATGCTACGAATTACAGGGCCATCATTGGATCTTTGCTATATCTCACGTCAAGCAGGCCTGCCATTGTCTTCTCCACATGCTTATGTGCTCGCTTTCAAGCCGATCCGAAGGAATCTCATCTGACAGCTGTACGACAAATTTTAAGATACCTCAAAGGCACGGTGAATCTAGGCCTTTGGTATCCCAAGCATTCAGGCTTCGATCTAGTCGGATACTCGGACGCTGACTTTGCTGGATGCCGGATGGACCGCAAAAGTACATCGGGAGCCGTCCAATTCTTGGGCGAGAAGCTAGTCTGCTGGTCTTCCAAAAAACAAAACTGTGTGTCAACATCTACAGCTGAGGCTGAATACGTCGCGGCTGCTAGTTGTTGTTCACAAATATTATGGATGAAGACTCAGCTCCAGGACTATGGTTACACATTCCGCCACATCCCGATCTACAGTGACTCTCAAAGCGCCATCGCCATCACAAGCAATCCTGTTCACCACTCCCGCACCAAACACATTGATCTGCGCTATCATTTCATCAAGGATCACGTGGAGAAAGGAGACATAGATATGTACTTTGTAAGCTCAGAGCATCAACTGGCTGACTTGTTCACTAAGGCATTGGATGAAAAAAGATTCCAGTTCCTGGTATCCAAGTTGGGCATGTTGAACCTCGAGCCTGTTTAGTTTTTGTCTCCACTGGTCTGAAAAGTGTGTGTGTGTGTGGAACTTGTAAATAGTGTGTGTGCGTTGCATGTGTTGAGGGGGAGAAAACCAGAACAATAATAAAAAATAGTGTGTGTGTGTGTTGCATGTGTTGAGGGGGAGAAAACTAGAAAAATAACAAAAAATAGTGTGTGTGTGTTTCATGTGTTGAGTGGGTGAAAAATCAAAAAGAACAAAAAAAAAGTGTGTGTGCGTTGCATTTGTACATATTGTTTGTTGCATTTTTTTGGGGGGGGGGGGGGAGAAAATTTTCACTGATTAAGGGGGAGCTCTCTATTTTGACTGGTTTGGGCCTCGAAAATCTTTTAAAAGGGCACTGTGTGCCAGCCCAATAATTCGGGCTCAATTATTACGGAGGAGGTCCAAAATTTTCTCGCGTATAAAACCTTCGCGAAAAACCCTTCACTCCCATTCTGATTTTTTATTTTCGCAAGGCAGAGCTCTCAAAACCCCCTGTGTTCGCAAACTCTTCTTCTCCTCCGATCCTCTCTCTCGACTACTCTTCGAAGGTAGTTAACGATTCAAAGTCGCAATCTTCCATCTCAAAATCGAACGATCGATCTCGAAATCCATATTTTTTATTCGTGTTCGACATCCAAAAACGAGCGATTGTTTTCGCAAAACCCTTGAAATTACTCGAAATCATAATCAAATTAGTTTTTTTCGTTTGAATGTATGTCGCAATCTTGTTGTTTTCATGTTTGCTATATCTGTTTATGGTGTTGCAGGTGGTTTAATATCTTCGAAATCGTCGTTTCATCTTCTCGAAATCAAGATCTCGAGATGGGCATCTCGACATCTTGATCTCGAGATTTGAATCTCGAAATCAAGATCTCGAGATCTGCATCTCGACATCTTGATCTCGAGATTTGAATCTTGACATCAAGATCTCGAGATCTGCATCTCGACATCTTGATCTCGAGATTTGAATCTCGAAATCAAGATCTCAAGATCTGCATCTCGACATCTTGATCTCGAGATTTGAATCTCGAAATCAAGATCTCGAGATCTGCATCTCGACATCTTGATCTCGAGATTTGAATCTCGAAATCAAGATCTCGAGATTTGAATCTCGAAATCATGATCTCGAGATTCAGATCTCGAGATTTGGACTTTACAACTTTTCAAAATTCCACCTGCATAAACTTATCTGAAACCTTCAAATCAAACTCTTTCAATCTAATCAAACAGTTGAATTTCATATGCTGACCCCCTGCTTCTACAGTTTAAAATGGCAGGAACCACTCAAACGCAGATCGATGATGCCATCTACCCCAAAGGGAAATGGATCAAGGTGCTGGATAACAATTTCCAGCTAGACCTTGCGGTGTTCAAGTGCCAGAACCCCATAGTTCCAGCAATCATGAAAGGTCACTATCTCTGGCCTGCACTTCACAACTCAAAACCAGTGCCAGAGATATACCTACAACAGTTCTGGGGTCATATGCATACGGATTCGCTGAAGGATCGCTCAAAGATAAAGACCAAGCTGAACGGCATGCGGGTGATTCTGACACCATCCACTCTACGGGCTACTCTATCACTGCCAATCCATGACGAGTACGATGCGCTGCCGTCCATCCCAAATCTACTGAAAGACGTGGCATCCCTAGGCTACACTTCATTACTGCCACAGCTCTCCAACTTCAACGGAGCATATCTTCACCATCCGTGGAAGAATCTCTTCGGGCTGGTGAACAAGTGCCTGTCGCCTAAGCATGCTGGCTTCAACAAGTGCAACAAGCAAATACTGCTAGTCTTTCATGACATCACTTTCAACAAGAACTACGACCTGGCACAGCTCTTCTTCTCAGAGCTAATGGACCTGGTCAAAGCCAAAGAAAAGAATAGGCCAGGTACCATCCCGTACGCAAGGTGGCTCGGGCTAATCATACACGACTGCATGGCAGATCACTCCTCAATACCAAGACGCAGTACTGATCCTCACTTCACCGCACCGAAGCTGTAATACTTTAAAGCAGACAAGAATCCTGCCTTCGGTCTGAGGATACCTGAGTTTCTGCTCAAACTTGTTAAAACTTCAAATCTAGCAGTCCAGTAGTACAAGGAAGCCACTGAGAGAACCGTCCCTATGGTTCAGCAAAACCCAGCTGGACCTACCCCTGGGACGAAGCCGAGTGTTGGTAAGGATCCAAAGAGAGCCCAAAAGCCACAGAAACCAATGGCCGGTTCGCCCAATGAAGGAAAGTCTGACGACTCGCTAGAGACGAGTCAGGCGGCTGAGGGCACCGAAACAGACGCTGAGGAAACAGCCAATGAATCGTCAAGTGAAGCCCAAACAAACACTGACGACGAGGCATCCGAGAGCGTGGGCACAGATAGCGAGGAATCTGGCTCGGATGATGACAATGACGACAACGACAGTGAATATGTTGAGCACACATATGCCCTGATCAAAAAAGGGAAGCTGTCAGTCGAATTTCCAAAGAAGACAAGAATAACTGCTGAAGATGCAGCACCGATAATCGCTGGCAGATCCCAAGTCTTCACTATCAAGGAGAAAGCTAAACCGAGAGTTGATCCCAACGAGACAAACTGCTCAAAGGACGACTATGACGAGGCAGCTCATCAAATCAAGAATTCTAAAGAAGTCGTCATCCGGGAGAAAAGGGCAAAGGTCAAGAATGACAAAACTGCCAAGGCAAAGCCCCAGCCCCGAGCCAGAAAGAGCCTGATTGATAAGGCAGACGAGCATATCTTCGCTGGCTGCGATACTTTTATCCAGATAAGCCGAGCTGAATCCTTAAGCACAGGAGCCGATCTTTTCGGTTCCCGGGTAGAAGTCGCAGCATATGGCTCAACTGCGCAAGCACAGCCCTCTCCCAGCCACTCGATAGCCTCTCAACAGGTTATTGTTTCAAAAGAACGGGACTTCAACCCCTCACTGGTTCCTTCTGAATCAGTTGAGCGTACAATTGACCTATCGCCCGAGGTCAAAACCCCTTCTTCTCACACATCGAGTCTAGGTGTCACATTCCCAACATTTTCTTCATTTTCTAGGACACCTACACTATTCACTGCACATACAGGTGCACACACCCTGAACGCAACAACCAGAGCGCAAGCTATGACGGTTGGAAGCCCTGCTACGCCCACAATGATTCCATCATTGCACGTAGGCCACACATCAGCAATCTTCACTGATGTTGTGTCAACAGTTACAACCCCCGTAACTGGTCACCCCACCTTTGAAGACGTAAACGTTCTACTAAATCGCTTCCTAGATTCCACCATTAAACCATGGGTGCAAGATGCAATGACCGCTGTAGCACAGGAATTTAGGACCACCCAAGCGGTTCGGTCTGAACAAACACCACCCCAACCTTCACCTGAACCGTTCATCTCCCATACACAACCCGTACCCTCAACCCCTCTATCCCACCAATCCATAAATCAAATACCCATTCCTTCACTTTTTCGGGGAACCCAGGATACAGAACCAGTATTCTCCCCACACCCGACCAGACCCTCCATCGATCTCTCCTCACTATCCTTCGACACTCTTGCATCGGCTTTGCTGAACAACTTCCTAAACACCCCTGAAGACAAACTTACCCTTCATCAGCAAGCCATACTCGAAGCCCTCCTTTCTTCACCGGAAACCAAGAGCACTTGCAAGGAGAGTCCTCGTGGTCGCAAACGTTCCCATGAGGACCCTAGCTTCGGCTTTGCTGAACAATCTCTTAAATACCCCAGAAGACAACCTCACTCTTCATCAGCAAGCCATACTAGAAGCTCTTCTTTCCTCACCTGAAACCAAGAGTACTTGCAAGGAGAATCTTCGTGGTCGCAAACGTTCCCATGAGGACCCCGATGATTCGGATCCTCATGAGGGGGAGAACAAGCGACCTCGATCACTTGAGCAAACTGCTTTACCAAGCCAAAATCCACAGCCAATCCAACCCGAAACCTCTACAAACCAACAACCACCACCCACAGCCAAAATATCTAGCATGGTCGAGCTAGAAGTAACATCCCGAGGGGATGGAAGTCCTGATGATGCTACCACTGGTACATCTTTTACATCAGGCCATCAGTTGGAACCTAGTTCTAAGCTGATGTCAACGGGCAATCCAAGTGAACCCGGTTGTGCTACCCAGGAACAATCACCGCCTCGAAAGCAGCAAAGAGTTCCATACATCTCCCCAGGCAAAGACATCCACGATGCACTGGAGGAGGCGGTGATATATGATAAATGGCCGAGACAATGGACAGAATGGGATGATCTCCGTAATGAGGCTGAACAAGAGGACATGCAGAGAAATTGGTGGCTACGAGAGCTAATCAACAAATGCTCTGAAGATATCATTAGGCTCGAGGACGATGAACGCAAGGAAGGGGAGAACTACAAGGAATCCCAGAAAACTCTTGAATCCGTCGTAAGACAATCAGCGGGAAGACTTCCCAAGACAGAGAAACCCTGGGACAACGTTCGAATCAAAGCCCCTTCCAAGAGGAAATCAGAGAGCATATCCGGCGTAGACCAGACAAAGTCAAACCGCTGAATGAACTGAAGCTAAGAGGCCTTACTCATCTAAAAGGAAAGCAGGCTGGAGGCCATCTGCATATGCTATTACAAAGGTCAACCGGTACTCAGAGAGAACTGACGGAACAAGATCTGAAGTCAAATATTCTCCCGATTCATCAAATTCTACAAGTGAAGGCTGAAGATTATCACGGAGTAACATTCTATACTTACAGACTTCAACGCACTGACGGGAGTGAATTTACTTGCCAAGAGAATGACTTCATCATGCTTAAACCCGACGATATCTATCAAATGTTCATGGCCTATAGATACCTTCCAGTCAGGCAGAGCATAATATACAGCGAAGGTCTTGCACCAATCAAGAGATTCATGCTTAGACAGATCAGAGTACACTCTTCACATGACCTACAGATGGCTATTGAGTGCAACCTGAAAAAGACAAATCTGACAAATCCAAGACTGTATGGTCCAGAACTCGAAGACTTCCCAGCTTACCACATCTTCTTCACACCGCCAGCAGTCACTTATCTGAACCACAAGAACGAAAAATGTCTGATGGTAGTCAATGAAATTGAGAAATACTGTGACGGAACGCTGAAGATAATCAAAGAACAGCTTCTAAAGATGAAGGCAGAGCTAGAGGAAAATCTTCAAGAGGCATCGTCTTATGTTCAAAAGGAACACTCTACACTAGAGACAATTTTAAAGGCCATTGACGATCGCCTAGAAAAGAGAAATATGCTGAGGCAATATGAACATGCACTAAATATGAGGAAGCACTACTTCAAGTCGCAGAAGCAATAACAGAGTGGCACTTGATCACAAAGGGGGAGATTGTTGGAGATATTTTAATTGTGAATCAAGTTTGTCATAGATTAGCTTTATATTTAATCCTTGTATTTAATTAGTGCATGAATTAGATAGCACTTGGGCCAAGTGTTAGGCCCATATAACAGGCTAAAAGTCTTGTACGCCTAACCTAAACCTCGCCTATAAAAAGGGAGCCAAGGGTTTAGGATTAGGTTAACGTCATACTTATTCTTCATAGCCTTACGCGCATATCTTTGTGTTGTACGAGTTCACGGTCTATCAAAGAGGGTTTTACATTGATTCAATCTGTGTTCATCCTTACGTTTAATCTTCGTTGTTAGATCGTTATTCATTGCTGTTACAGAAACAGGGACTATCATAGGATCTATAAGAAATCCTATTTAAGGTAAATAAATATGACCTTATTGCATTTTGTGTTTTCCAGTTTAACTTATTTGTTAATTGACCAATTGAGCAAGACACTTTCAGAAAATACTTTACTAGCATTTTGGTTAGAGTAGAATACATCACATTGATTTCTTAAGTTAAATGCTACAAAAGACTAGAGACAAAAAAGCTTTGGCATCATCAAAAATGTTTATCAAAATCTAGGGGTCTAACAATTTCCCCCTTTAATGATGATGTCAAAAGAAGATATTAGTCAAACATTTAACTTAAAAATAAGATAAAAATGTTTGACTTCTTTCTTCCCCCTCTTTTGGTAGCATTTTTCTTTAGTGGTCCCTATTCTACTCTTGATTTCTTCTTCTCCTGCTTGATGACTCCCCAGAGACAAAGTTTGGGTTACTTCTTCTCATTCTTTGATTATCCTCTTCTCTGAGGTTCTTCAGTTTTTCATAGAGGACTCGTCGGATTAAGAACATGGACATCGTGGCTTCAATGCTTGGTACTTGAATCCATTGAAGAACGAATTGTTCTTCATTTCTCACAAACGCAGCAGCTTGAGAGAGCATGTCCATTGGAGCCATTCTCCAATTTCTCCAGTTAAGAACTCTCTTGAGTTGGAGATCAAGAGCTTCTTTTTCCTTCAGAAATTGGACTCTTGATTCTAAGAATGCAATGTTGTCCAATTGCTGTTGGGTCAAATTGGGTCTTTGAGCAGCAGGTGTTTGAGGTTGTGCTAGTGAAAGTTCTAGCGATGACTCAAGATGGCTATAGTTGGAGTTGGTGTTCGCCATTTGAGGAAATTAAGGGTTTGAAAGGAGCTCTGAGGAAGATTGGATGCAAGGTATTGGGATGAATTATCATATGTTCGAGAAGAGGGATTTATATATCCAAGTGTTTAGATTGTCTCTTTGTGTTTCAAGATTTGTTTAAGTAACCGAGACTTCTTTCATTAATGTTTTAGCGGCTAGTCCTCTTTTCAAGAGAGAGCATGAAAGTATTCATTAAATGATATTGATGATCATCATTAAAGAAGCCACTTTACTTGGATCAACATGTGTCGTTCTTGCATGTTGCATGTAGCATAAATCCTCTTCTGTATTGATGAAGTCTGACACTCCCTTTTGCATGCCTTGTTTGCTCCGAAATGGATAATTCTAGGATACCGTTTTTGCTTGTTATGGCTAATTTTCGACAGTAATTATTAAAATAGGATGCTAACTATCTTTGTAAGTAACCTTTATTTTATTAGGACGCTGCAGAAGCAGGATGCTCCTAATGAAATTTAGATTCTACAGACTAGTAGTATTCCTTTTTCAATCCATATATGAGTCTACTCCTGAGTTTTATGAATCATCATAGTATCTTTATGAATCGGTATTTGATTTTTGAGCTTCAGCACTTTGAGCTAGTTGTTCCTCTTGTCCTCCATTGCTAATGATCATGACTCTTGGTTTCTTTGTGGTAACAGGTTCCTCTGATTCTATTGCTGAGTTTGTTGAGTCAAGATCTAGACCTCTCATCTTTTTCTTTGCTTTTGTCATCTTCTTTCCTTCTTGATTGTGATGGCTTTGTGTATCCATTCCCCCTTAGTTGATGCTTGCTTGTTTGGAGCTTCCCTTTCTGGATTTTATTCTTTGAGGGGATCAAGATAGTTTGTACCAAATGCTGGTATTCCATGTATATGTGTCTATAATTGAGCCTCCTGCTGTTTATGAAACACCTTGTTGTTCTCGTGAGTCATTCGTCCTGAGAGCCCTCTGCCGCTTGGATGCAGCCACTTTTCTTGTTTCTCATTGTTTTTCCTCTTTGAATAATGTGTTGTACATTCCACCTAGTTAGAGGAAAATGTAGCAGGGGGTTAGTTGGCAGTCACCCTAGTTTTGTAGGTGTCTAGAGAATGTAGCAGTGGCCTGATTGGCAGTCACCTGCTGAGTTAACTGCTGGTAGAAGTCAATCATCTGTTGAGCCTACTGCTCGGATTTTGAGTAGGTTTTCTTTGAGCAGGTGATTTTCCTTGAGTATTTGTGTAAGAGTTCCCCCTCAGCAGGTGGCTAGGAATTCCCCCTTTATTTAAGAGTTGAGTTCCCCCTAACTGGGTGCAGGGTAATTCCTTTGTCTTGATCATCATTCAAATCTCTTGTCGTGATGTTATTGAATCTTGTTTTAATTCAATAGCTTGGTTGATGCAGAAACCTTGTGGAGTCATGTTTCATTTGTAGTCCCAAGACATAGTTCAACTCTCCCATTGGGCTCATTTCAAATTTGCTTGAGAGTTGAAAATTCCTTACATAATGATTGCTTTGAGTTTTCAAATACAAGCAATATGAGAGGACTTTCTTCAACTTTGAATAGTATGTTGTCTACTTTGCCTTTAGTGAACCCATTTTCACTAAGTGTATAGAGAGAGAGTGTCATACCATGCTCTTGGAGTTTGCTTGAGTCCATAGAGCGTTTTCTTTAATTTGAACACTTGATCTTCCTCTCTATTGATTTCAAATCCGGGAGGCTGCTCCCCGTAGACCTCCTCTTCTAGTAGACCATTTAGGAAGGCATTCTTTACATCCATTTGATAAACTGTGAATTGCTTATGGGCAGCACATGCTAAGAATAGCTTCAAGTTTGGCAGCTGGGGCAAGGGTTTTATCAAAATCTATTCCTTCTTCTTCACAGTACCCTTTGGCCATCAATCTTTGCTTAATTCTTAAATAAGATGCCTTCCTCTTTCACCCTTTTTGTTCTTATCACATGTTGATGATAGGGTCTGTATACAAGCTTCAAAAATTGCTTCTTTTGAACTGTTTTGCTTGTATTCAGTCAGAATTTTGTAGGATTTCTTCGGTTTTCTTGGGTTCTGTTTGAGAGACGAAGCATGAGAAAAGTGCTTCTCTCTGGATTGATGATTTTTGAACGAACCCTTTGGTTGATGTCACCAATTATTTTGAGGAGGAGGATGCTGGTTCAACCATCCAGTGTCAGATGATTGATTTAATTGAGTTACCTGTTTATCCTCTTCTTTTTCTTTATTGTCTTCTGGTAGAGTAGAGGATTGGGGTTATTAAGCCTTGTGCTTAATTCAGCTTGAGCGTCTGGAGAGTTGATTCAGAATGAGTCAACTGCTGGCAGTGTTCTGAAGTTTGAGTCAACTGCTGGCATTGGTCTCCCATTTGAGTAATCTACTAGCAGTGGTCTGCTCTTTGAGCCACCTGCTGGCAGTTGGCTGCCATTTGAGTTAACTGCTGCTTCCAGAGTCTTGTCATCTTTTGTTAATTTTTGCTGGGAAGGCAGCTTGGAGCCTTTCCAGTATCCTTCCTTAATTAGGCTGGCTCACCTTTATTCTTTTCATGAGCAGAGGATTGGTTTCCAAAGACCGCATAAATTGATTCTTCAATAACCAGGGTTCGTTTGTTTAGAATGCCGAAGTCCTTGCTAGTTGGTGAGTAGTCCAGGAGGAATCCCTTCATAAATAGTTTGTTGATGGTTTTTGAAATTGAGATGACTTATATTGTGATGCCAATCCCAATTCAAGTTTAAATCCGCTTGGGTTATAAGGCAGATTCCTTCTTTTGTGATGCTTCAATCAAGAATATCCATATCCTTCTTTCTTCTACCAGTTAGCACAAATTTGTTGTTTAGGACATCTCTGACCAAGCAGATGTCCATGGAGAATGTCACATTGTAAACGTTATCGCAGAGCTGGCTTGTGCTTGATAGGATTGAATTTCAATCCCATATGATATGTTATGGATTGTAAGTTCACATTTGATTGGGTTTTCCAGCTCCTTTTGATTCTCCTCTTTCCTCCTCTTTCCCAACTGTTATTTTTGAGTCCTTCTCCAGATTTAAAGCTTTGACAGTAGTCTCCAGTTGTCTGTCATGTGCATGGAACAGCTTGAATCTTGTATCATTCTTGTAAGTTAGCTGCTCCAGCACCTTCCCGATTTTATCAGTTTTGAGTATTAGCCCAGAAGTTAGTGGGCATCTTCCTTTGAATGAGTTTGGGCATCCATGCCCTTCTAGGACCATTTGGATCTAAGCTGATGGATCTATAGCCATTCGGAGTATTGTAATCATAAGGAATGGCTACATATTTGTGAACATTATTCCTTATGAAGATAGAGGAAGGAATATGTGTACTAGGAGTGATCAGCTTTTTCTTTGGAAATTTGTTGGTCCTTTTGATTGGTTGCCAATCAAGTCTATGACTTGGTTGGTTATTTTTGAAGTTGGGTTTGTACGGGAGTTTGGATTTTGATCTGGGAGAGAGGACTGGTTCCTTTTATTTGACAGAGTTTGGGAGTGGGTTTTTTGCTGGTTTGTTTTTCTTGTGTCTTGTTGGCTTGTGGTGTGTTCTGTGATAGGGAAGTATTTGGGAGAGTCTTTCAATGGTTGGGATAAAGGTGTGTATCCTAATCCCGTGTTCTTCCAATTGTGTTGAACTTCCTTAGCAATACGGAGAGAGTGGGAGCTCAACCTTTCTTTTAAACTGATGTTTTCAAGAAAATCTTTCATTTTTATCACTTCACCCATTTGAGCTTAGGCTATTATTAGATTTTCTTGAAGTCTACAGTTTTTGTTCATTAAAAGAAGGTGATCTTTTTGAAAGTTTTCAAATTGATGGAGTAATGCTTCCATATCAACACTGGAACAGCTGGAATCATATGAGCTGTTTGAAGAACAGGATAATACCTCATCATTGTCATTTTAATTGGATCTGGCCATAGGACAGTTGTGGAAGGAGCTATCATCTTGGTGCATTCCAAAGAGGCAAATCAGGCCCTCTTACTCACTTTCTGATGAGCTGCTTTTATCACTTGAACTGCTTTGATCATCTTCTGATTGGATCATTGTGAGCTCATCCCAGACATCCTTAGTCTTCAAGTCATCAAATTTGTTCAAGTTGATAATAGATTCTTTACAAGCCGACTGTCCATTTCTAGAAAGTGTTTGGGAAGTGAAGTGGATTTGGATTTTTAGTTCAAATTAGTCAGAAAGTGACTCTAGGAACACTTGCTCTGATACCACTTGATGGTCCCGGATAGAGGTAAAAGTCTAGAGGGGGGGGGGGGGGGGGGGTGAATAGACTTTTAAAGCCTTTTCAACTTTAAAAACTTTTCCCTTCTAGAAGAGTTGATCTAAAATCTTTTGGGAGATTTATTGATGCACAACAGAAGTCTTTAGCCCCTTAGATAAACAGTGTATAACAACTTTCTATAATTGGTGAAGTTTGGTCTTTATGCAGTGAGCAGTTGGCTTGGCAGTTGCCTGGATGGCAGGGAACTGCTGAGGCAACTGCTACTATAAAATGGGAGTTTGGGGAAGATGATTGTGTGGCCTTATACGGAATGATGAGAGCTTTCTGAAGATGTACTGAGCTAAAGATAATAAGGGGTTTTGCGTAAGCAGAGGTCTAGGTAGTTGGGTAGACCCAGGAAACTACTAAGGCACCTACTCCTTATGAAAGATGTATTTCCGAGAACAAGCAAAACAGACCTTTTAGTAGTGATGTTCCAAGGCTCTTGTGAAACAGTTGTCTAAGGAAAAGTAAGTTATTAAGGAGTAGGATAAGCAGTAGAGTCAACTAAGACTACTGCTTAGGATGATGCTGGCAAACCACGATCCCTTTAGTGAGAAGTGTTGGGTGTGTGCTTTGTTTACTGAAAGTAAATCAACACACAGTATATCCTGGTTCAGAGGTGGTGTAATTCTCCTACATCCGGTCCCACCCTATTTTAGATGGATTTCACTAAAGTATTAAGCCCAATACACTTAGTGCCAATCTAGCCTTGACAACTCTGGCCTAGATTGAAGGTGTTTCCCAAGGAGTACAACACCACTCCAAGCTACTCAATCCTTTAGGTTTTTCTCGATTGATCCAGTGGGGATCAAAATGTACTCTTAACCTATCTAACCACACTCAGGCCGGGAACAACTGTCGTCCTGAGTGTTTACAACACCTTCTGAAATACAAGAAAGTTCTGGTCACCAACTAAAAACTAAGCTCTAAAAATATGAAAGTGATGGTCTAATCTAAGAGCTTAGTGAAGCATGAGTCAAATCAAAGAGTGAAGTTATGATCGAGCACTTTCTCTTTTGCTAGATATTATTTGAAGGTTTATAGGATTTCTCTGCTTTTGAACTCAAGAACTTAATTTTCTAACTCATGCTTCGGACTTTACTTATAGGCGTCTTCGGTAGATTAATCTCATCCGTTGGTTGAGATGATTTAATCTTGTTCGTTGAATCTTTGTTTCAGAGGATAACAACTTGTTGTTTGTCCTCTTCTTTGGAGCCGATAACTTCTTTGTCTTTGTTTGCCTAGCCACTGTAGTTTTCTCCTTTATAGAGTTCCAACTTGACTGCACATCCCATGCTTTGGATCCTTTGTACTATTTCGCATTAAACGTCCTCCATGCTGGATTTCCTCAATTTTGATTGGCTTCGGATGATCACGAGACAGAATAACAATTTTTGTGTATTAATAAAATTTATACTGGTAGGATTTGAATATCCTATTAAGGTATATAAATTTACCTTATTGCATTTTTAATTTCCAGTGTATTTTTATTAGTCTAAAAAATTGTTCATTTATTTGTCCTCAATTATACACATGTAAAACTCATATCAAAGTGCCTTTTGTTTTTGTGACGTTTTAAAATGTTTGTGATAAATTAAATATATACCGGTAGGATTTAAATATCCTTTTAAGGTAAAATTTACCTTTTTGCATTTTGACTTTTCCGGTATTATTTTCTTGACACAAACATTTTACTTTTAACTTTTGGTCACTCAAGGTTTTGTATGGTCAACTAGTATTTTGAACTTAATCTATTTATTTAACTGGTAGGATAACAAATCCTATTAAGGCAAAAATCATTACCTTATTGCATTTTGTGTTCCAGTTAAGAAATATGTATTTCGAAATACTTTGTGTTCATTTGATGTGATATTAACAAATAAGTTCGACTGGTAGGATCTATAAGAAATCCTATTTAAGGTAAATAAATATGACCTTATTGCATTTTGTGTTTTCCAGTTTAACTTATTTGTTAATTGACCAATTGAGCAAGACACTTTCAGAAAATACTTTAATAGCATTTTGGTTAGAGCAGAATGCATCACTTTGATTTCTTAAGTTAAATGCTACAAAAGACTAGGGACAAAAAAGCTTTGGCAGCATCAAAACTTTTTATCAAAATCTAGGGGTCTAACACTAATCTAAATAAATTACAACTATTTAGGTAAATAAAGTATTACACCAAAAGTGTGTAATTTCCACAACAATAAATAATGAAACTAATTAAAAGTAGAAACATACACACTGAAAATAAAGCTTAATTAACTCCCTCGTGCTTAGTTTCTTTACTCGTCCTCGAGTAAAATCAAAAGTCCACAATCGGTCCAAATAAATGGTAAAAGTAAAAGATTACCAATGATATTTGAGTTTACAAATTGTAAGAGTAGTACCCATATACAATAAGCTTCATTTTCTTTGGTTTAAGTGTCTTCTATGCTTTTCCATTTGCCTCCATTTCTTCATCGAGATGCTCAAGATGAAATTAAATCAGTTTCTTGCAAAACCAATTTCTCTGATATCTCTCATTTTGTGTAGGATCCTTTTCATATTTTCATCCTAGCTTCTTATTTTTTTCTCTCCCCTAATCAATAATTCTTTTTAGCCTTCCAATTGCGTAGATTGTCCTTTTTGGGGTTGATAAGTCCGTATTTAGACATGCATTTGATGTGTGTTCAAATCGGATTTGATGGTTTTCCCTAGCTTTAAGGTGTTACAAGTCTCAATTTTAGCTCAAGTTATGTTAACGGGCGTTGGTTCGAGTTTTGTGTCATTTGGAGTCAAACTGAGGATTTTAGAGTTCAGCACCGGCGCTTGAGAAGAAATCAAGATGAGTTGAGAAGCATTCGAGAGTGATTTGAGATCTTTGGAGGTCACCGGGAGGTTCACGATGAATATTTGAAGGAAAAAGAGCTTTAGGGATGGCTACGGGATCAAAGGAAGATGAATGGAGCTTGAAATCGGCGATCAGGATGACCTTCTAACAATCGTTCAAGCATATCTCTTTGTAAAAACATTCAATGTACACGATTCAAAGTCCATATGAAAGCTAACTTCATTGGCTACAAATCATATGCAGACACCTTTGCTAGAATCTGAGAGGAAGAAGGTGAAAACACACGATGAAGTCAGATGATCTCTGCTGCGATTTCAGAATGATGACCTCTTGATTGGACGAATTGGGGTGGATAGAGGACTTCATTATCTACAACTTGTATAAAGGATGCCTTTCCAAATTCGAACGTTAACTAGGCACGATCGTGCGCTCAAAGTCAGGCACGATCGTGCATGAAGAGAAAGCATCGCGGAGCTAATGCCAGGCTTTTCAGCCTTGTTCATCAATCTTTAGGGATTCTTTGTAAGTTCCATCTTTTTAATTAATAAAAATTAATTCTATTCTTCCCAATTCTGTTGATTCTTCAATTATGAATTGTGAGTAATTTTAATTAGGGGTTTGGGATTGATGAAGGGGTTGATCATGATGTATGGCTAGATTCTGGATGGTTTAATTGCATGAATGCCGTTTAATTTGTGTTTGAATAATTTAACTGATATCTTTTGTAACCTAGAATCGCGGCTAGAATTACAATTGCTTATAGAATAAATTAAGAGAGATCTAGTTTATTCTAGGACACATTCACACACACTTAATCGTTCGCTAAGATATTAGTAGCGATTAAGGGGGCGTAAGCTCGATCGTTTTGGCAATAATTTAGGATCCTGTCGCATGAGATATTAGCCTGGTCCCCTAAATTATTGTACTCTACGCCGCGAGAGTGGTAAGAACTTAGTAATGATTAGCTAGGCTCAATTGAATTAATTTCATGTAATTAGTTCTGATCTGCTAGAAATCTGGTTACCCCGGAATCAATCCCTGTTCCCTTCGTCATTAATTAGAAAGAACCCAATCAATTATTTTTATTCGCTCATTCGCATTAATTTATTTTCCAAACCACCCAAAATCTCGCACAATTTCATTTTATTTTATTTATTTCTTTTTAATCGCTGAATTTAGTTAATCTTTGATTCCCTTTTGTCCGTCCCTGTGGAGACGATACTCGTACTTACACCACTATATTCACCGCAATTTAACCTCCCTATCAACTTTTTCAAATTACCCCTACTACTCCTGGAACTAATTTCCAAAATCAAGTTTATGGGATGCAAGGAGTAGGGCAGAGTATTCCCGTTTTCCAACCAAGACAGAACCCACTTCCAATCAATCAACCTACATTCCAAAATCAGCCCCAATACCATAATCCGTACCCCAATCAGTATCACAACCAAACCCAAGTCCCCCCAGCCCAGACAGCAGGCTCCTCCAGAAAATGCTTATTTACCGCACAATAATCCACTCTATCAGTGCCAAACCATTGCAGAGTTCCTTACGCCAGACGTTTCCGGGTATGATAGCATTCAAGTACCGGGAATTACTGCCAACCATTACGAGATAAGGCCGGCGGTGATAAGCATGGTGTCTAATAACCATTTTGGAGGAGGCCCTACAGAAGACCGAGTGGCGCATATTACCTACTTTCTGAGGATGTGCCAGACTTTCAAGATACTTGGGTTAACTGATGATCAAGTAAGAATGATGGCTTTTCCCTTTCTCATTGAGGGAAGATGCGCAGAGGTGGTTGGACAACAATCCTCACCACCACCTCCAGACTTGGGACCAGCTGCATAGTGCCTTTATTAAAGAGTACTTCCCTACGTCAAAGGCCCTGAAGTTGAAGAAGCAACTACAAGAGTTTAAGTAGGGATCTCTAGAAACACTGGCTGAAGGATGGAAGAGATTCAAGGTGCTAAGAAGAGATTGTCCTCAGGGAAATTTGACTAATTGTGAGGTTCTTTTCTACTTAACGGACTCAACAATGAAGGGAAGATGATGTTGGATGCTTCGGGTGGCGGAGCCTTTCCTGATTTACCATCTGAGGTTGGGGAAGAACTAGTGGAGAATATTGTTTCAAATAATGCATCTTGATACAGCGACAAGAGTTCTCCTTAGCAAAACGCTCCGAGCCTATACGAGATCAGTGATGATTCTGCTCTCTCTGCATGAGTAGATACATTGGCAAGCATGGTGAAGAAGCTCATAGCCAGCGTGGATGCTATAGGGAAAAGGTGGATCTTGCTCTCTCGGTGCCCAGTGTTAATATGGTAGCCCCCGGTCCTATTAGTCCTTCTTGCACTACATGTGGGGGACTCCATTGGCCGCATGAGTGCACTATGATGGCACACCCGGCAGCCCCTGGAGTAGAGCAAGTTAATGTGATTTATTCTCAGCGGCAGGGCTACTACAATCAGCCTTACGGGCAGCAGCAGCAAAGGAATTACGGGCAAGGAAAACAGCAGCAGCAGCAGTCTAGGAACTAAAATCAGCCCCAAGCACCTCAAGGTGAACAACAAGCACCTCATCCGGTGCAAGGGAGTGTCAGGAGGGAGACTGAGCAAAAATGTTCTAGCTTGGAAGAAACGCTCAAAGAATTAGCGCAAAATCAACTGAGGGCGGACTCAAGGATGCAAAACATTGAAAATCAATTGGGGCACCTTGCAAAAGCCATATATGAGAGGCCTCAGGGATCCCTCCCTAGCAACACCGAAAATAATCCAAGAGAGCAAGTTCACGCAATCACATTGAGGAGTGGACGAGATCTGGAGCCTGCTGCCATAAAGACGAAAGTTGAAGACGTTGAACCTGCTGCAGTTGTACTGTTCTTGAGGAAAAAAGGAAGAAGACAAGAAGGAGGAGGGGGACACGGTTCCAAAGCAACCCGTTCCTGTCAAAGCTTACAATCCCCCCTCCCATACCCGTAACGCTTAAAAGGGAAAAGTGACACTAAGAACTTCAACAAGTTTTTGAACCTCTTCAAACAGGTTCAAGTAAACGTACCATTCATGGAGACGCTGCAACAAATGCCAAAGTACACCAAGTTTATGAAATAATTCCTCTCTAACAAAAGAAAGTGGGGAGAACCGAAATCAGTGGTGCTGAATGAAGAGTGCTCGGTAGTGGTGCTAAAGAAGATGCCTAAAAAGCTCAAGGACCCAGGTAAGTTCACTATCCCTTGCTCCATAGGAAGTGAGATTTTTTATAATGCTTTAGCTGATTTGGGTGCAAGCATCAATTTGATGCCCTATACCTTGTATGAGAAGCTTGCACTCGGTCAGCTTAAACCAACACGTATGTGCATACAGTTGGCTGACCGATCGGTCAAATATCCCCAGTGGATTGCTGAAGACATGTTGGTTAAAGTGGACAAGTTTGTTGTTGGTCCCGGTTGTACTGGATACAGTCTAGAGGGGGGGGGGTGAATAGACTGTATTGGTTTTTAACTTTTTCAAGCTAAGTACCAGATTTAACAGAATAGCCTGTTCTGTTGACAGAACAGACTGGCAGCGGATGAGGTTCTGGTAGGGAGTTCTGTTAATAGCCTCAGAGAAGCAAAGGCAGTAGGCCTTCTGTTAACTCACAAGACCAGTTCTGCTGAACACAGATACCAAGTCTTTGGAGTCAAACAGTTCAAATAAAAACTAAGAATGAAAAGCAGTAAGTAGATGACACCAGGGCTTTTTATAGTGGTTCAAGGAACAACTTGTTCCTCTAGTCCACTGTTCCACTAAGCTGTAAAAACTTTCGTTTACAATGCCTTAGCCCTATCACTTAAGAAGCTCTCCACGTCTTCTTCAAGTGTAGATGTCTTCTTGGATGCACTTCCGGCTTCCCTAAGACTGGTCCTTTCACTGAGCTTTCCCAGAAGTATCACCACTTCACAACTCTAGGTACTTGGACGTCCTTCTTGTGAAAGAAGAGGTTCTATTTAGAACAGGGGTTCCTCCAACTTGCTTCGTTACAAAGAGTTTGTATGTGATGAGCTTGAAGAGTTGAAGAACACTTGGAACTTTGCTTGAGTTAGAAATAAGGATCTTTCCAACTTCTGCCTTCTCTTGTAGAGGATGATGAAGTGTTAATCTCGAGGAGGCTTTTTGCTTTTAAGCGTTTGAATTTCTTGTATGCAGGGTTGTAGCAAAGGTTAGCAAAATTGCAAAGTTATCCGGTTGTTCTTCGCAGTGTATCTTTTATACTGAGGTTGTCTTCCCGTTGGAGGAGAAGGAGGACAACTGCATTAAATGAGCGAGCAGTTGACTTGACCAGTAGGACCCGGTAAAGTTGGCGGGTTACTATTTTGGGATAAAGTAATCCTGACATTGCGGCCAATCATCTGCAATTACTCTACGGAGCATGGGGAGCATTAAATGTGCATTTAATGCGCGCACTGTAGCGTTTCCGTTCAAGTCTCCTAGCCGTTGAAGGAATCTTCCAGTTTATTTCCCGGCTTTGTGGAATTCTTCTAGGTGTCAGGCCTTCTGGTGTCTTTAACAGAGAGTTGATCAGAGAAGGTCTGGAGCACTTCTGTTGAGAGTATATCCAACAGAGAACCAGGAGGGTTTCTGTCAGAGTAAAGGCTAACAGAGACTCTGAGGTCTTCTGTTCTGAAGCAGAGAACCAAAGGTCTTCTGTTCAACAATGCCTTAAAAAGGGTCTTCTGCCCTTGGAGCCCTTCTTCTTTAGGAGGTCTTCTGGTTTGGAGGCTTTCTGCTAAGTCGATTAAACTAAGAACTTTACAAATGAAAATTCTAATACATTAAGTCTAAAGAGGGGTACTCTAAAGTCCTAATTAATCTAGCATCATCAAAATCTAATTACAAATATTCCTTACATTTGTTATTCTCGTTGATTTCGTTGTTTTGGATATGCCCCAAGATCTTGATGTGCCCTGAATTCTTGGAAGGCCTTTTCTGGCCACTGCTCGGGCCCTCATAGATGTTGGGGAAGGGAAATTGATTTTGAGAGTTGGGGAGGAGAGAGTTACTTTTTGCATGGCCAAACTGGCCAAACAGTCCTGTCAAGATGTTAATGAGTGTTTTTTGTTGGATGTCATTGATCCCACCGGAGAGGAGGGGGGGGGGGGGAACCCCACCTCTAAAAGAGAATGATTTTGAGTCGTTCATTGATAAAGGGCCTGATAAAGGCTTAGACTCATTCTTGTGCTTTAGGAGTGGCCCTGAGATGCGCTATTATTTTCATGAATTTAAGGTCTTACGCCATCTAAGGGCATTTGTTGATAGGAGGTTTGATTTGTGGAAGACTAGTTTTCTGAGCGGGAGTGTCTTTGACTGAGTTTTAGATGAGGTGGCTGCGTCGGGCAAACGACGTTAAAAATAGTGCTTCTTGGGAGGCAACCCAAGCTTATTTCTGCACTTTTGTTTTTGCATGTTTCTTTGTTTTTGTGTTTTTTTGTGATTGTTTTGAAGCTCAGAGTCTTGCTTTGGGGATGATGTGCCGAGGATCATTTAACTTAGTTCTATTTCTGCACCGACCAACGCTACGATGGAAGTTCCTTGACTCTTATTCACCTGTTTAAAATGCTGACTTGAGTTGATTTGAGCATGTGTGACCCTTTCCTCTTTACCTCTTGTGCATAGTGCATTTTTGGTCATCAGAGGTGATGCCAAAGTTTAAGTGTGGGGGAGTGAATTGGGCATTCGGGCAGTAGTTGTAACATGGGATTACTAGAGTTACCATGCACAGGTGTTAGTTGTATATTCATAGAAAAGTCATGTCACTTTTTTTTTGAAATTGTTTCCTTAAAGTGTGTCTTTGTGAGATGCCTAACGTGTTGACTATGCTTTTAGAACATCTTTGAAGTGTTTAGGCTTAAATTGCTTGCACTATAACCTAGTTTTTGAGAGGATGGAGGCATTAGTCAGCTATTGAATCGTTCCATAAATCATCCACCTGACCTGAAAAAGTCCTTTAGGAGAAGCCATTTTGAACCTGATCGTTTATTGTTTACCCAATTAATTAAAGTTCCATAGCCAAATGGTCTGCTTCCTTACCCGTGAATATTTCTGACTTGGTCTTGATGTTTAGGGAACTAAGGAATTAATTTGTTAAGTTTAGAGAATTTGTGTAGGAGCCAATTTTGGCACTGTTCCTATGCTCCAAATGGGCTAAGAGCAGTCACTTTTTAGGAATTTGATATTTTCGAGGATTGCATTGTAGGCATGAATTCACTTTTAAATGAATGAACTTTAATTGCTATTTTTCGTTGGTGAGGCCGAGATTATAATAGGGTAATGTCTAGTGAGAATCCAAAAGGTGAAAAATTAATATAGCTAGATCTCTTACCTTGCGAAAAAGAGAATGGGAGCCCCGGTCAAAAAGCGTAAGTGTTTTGCACAATAAGATGAGACCTTGGGTATCTTTCGAAAAAAATAGTGTTCTCGTGCCAACATGACAAGGAAAACTGAACTTATTTAATGAATTTGGAGGCTTTGGCAAAATTAGCTTTAGTCCTCCGCGTACTTCAAGTATACGTCAAAGCACCAATGTGCCGCGGCGGTTTAGCTTAGTTGTACACCATGTCTACTCTTTGCATAGGTTTAGATGATTCTTCCTAAATTGTGGCCTATTGAGTTCCTTGATCCTAAGAATAGCCCTGAAGTTCCTGAATGCATTAAGTCTTTGTCAGGTTGTTCCAAAACTCTCAAAGGAAAGGGACTATTTATTACTATTCACCATTCACCATCACCTTCACAAGTCCTTCTGATCAACATCTAGTTTTTTTGTGTATGCTGTCATTACTTTAAGGATGTTGTGAAAATTTTTGTCAAATAGTTTAGCTTGAGTACAAAGATGTAGTTTAGGGAATAACTTTCTTAATTTAGTCTTTCTATTCCGTGAATATCCCTTTGACTACGTGTGCATGCTAATTGTTTTAAATTCCGTGTGGTGATTATCGTAAGTCACGTTGTTCAGTTTGCTTGAGGACAAGCAAAAGATTAAGTGTGGGGGAATATGATAAGTTAATATTTAGACATGCATTTGATGCGTGTTCAAATCGGATTTGATGGTTTTCCCTAGATTTAAGGTGTTACATGTCTCAATTTTAGCTCAAATGATATGTCTACCGGGCGTTGTTTCGAGTTTTATGTTATTTGGAGTCAAACTGGGGATTTTAGAGTTCGACACCGGCGCTTGACAAGAAATCAGGATGAGTTGAGAAGAATTAGAGAGTGATTTAATAGCTTTGGAGGTCACCGTGAGGTTCACGATGAAGATTTGAAGGAAAAAGAGCTATAGTTTTGGCTACGGGATCAAAAGAAGATGAATGGAGCTTGAAATTAGCGATCAGGATGACCTTCGGTCAATCGTTCAAGCATAGCTCTTTGTAGAAGCATTCAATATACACGATTCAAAGTCCATATGAAAGATAAATTCAAGGGCTACAAATCCTATGAAGACACCTTTTCTAGAATCGGAGATAAAGAAGGTGAAAGCAGACGATGAAGTCAGGTGATCTCTACTGCGATTTCAGAATGATACCTTCCACCGTTTGGATCATATCTCTGGATTGGATGATTCAAATCATATTCAGAAAATTGGTGTGGATAGAGGACTTCATTATCTATAACTGGCATGAAGGAAGCATTGCCAAATTCGGGAGTTAACTGGGCATGATAGTGCCCTAAAAGTCAGGCACGATCGGGCGTGAAGAGAAAGCATCGCGGAGCTACTGCCAGGCAGGCACAATCGTGCCTTGAGCGAGGCACGATCGTGCCTGTCCAAAATGCGCGTTTTGATCCGGAGGCACGATCGAAGGCACGATCGAAGGCAAGATCGTACCTGGCATTGTGCTTTCCTCCGGAAATCCCAATTCAGCTCAAATTTTACCCGATTTTCCTATTTAAACAGCCTGTAATCTCCTGTTTCAAGGGGGAGCTTAGAGAGAGTGCCTAGTACGAATTTTAGAGGGCTTTTCAGCCTTGTTCATCAATCTTTTGGGATTCTTTGTAAGTTTCATCTTTTTAATTAATGACAATTAATTCTATTCTTCCCAATTTTAGAGGGCTTTTCAGCCTTGTTCATCAATTATGAATTGTGAGTAATTTTAATTAAGGATTTGAGATTGATGAAGGGGTTGATCATGATGTATGGCTAGATTCTGGATGGTTTAATTGCATATATGCCGTTTAATTTGTGTTTGAATAATTTAACTGATATCTTTTGTAATCTGGAACCGTGGCTAGAATTACAATTGCTTATAGAATAAACTAAGAGAGATCTAGTTTATTCTAGGACACATTCACACACACTTAATCGTTCGCTAAGAGATTAGTAGCGATTAAGGGGCCGTAAGCTCGCTCGTTTTGGCAATAATTTAGTATCATGTCGCATGAGATATCAGCCTGGTCCCCTAAATTATTGTACTCTACGCCGCGAGAGCGGTAAGAACTTAGTAATGATTAGCTAGGCTCAATTGAATTAATTTCATGTAATTAGGCCTGATCTGCCAGAAATCTGGTTACCCCGGAATCAATCCATGTTCCCTTCGTCATTAACTAGAAAGAACCCAATCAATTATTTTTATTCGCTCATTCGCATTAATTTATTTTCCAAACCACCCAATCTCGCACAATTGCATTTTATTTTATTTCTTTTTAATCGCTGAATTTAGTTAATCTATGATTCCCTTTTGTCTGTCCCTGTGGAGACAATACTCGTACTTACACCACTATATTACAATCTATTTTAAGTGCGAGAAAATTCACATCAATTTTTGGCGCTGTTGTCGTGGACGGTGACGGTCTTAAGGGTTAATTTAACTCAGCGATCCATTTTTAGTTTTTCGTAGGATTTTTATCTGCTAACCTTGCAGGTCAAATCTGTTTATGCATACTCGTTCTAAGAGGGGAGAACCGCTAATCCCTCTTAATCTTGAGATTGAAAAGCTCGTCAAACAGAACCTTAAGGCCCAAAAAGAGAAAATCACCATGGACCATCAATCTTCATCTGGAACTGCAGGGATATCTGGTAACTCGAACCCCACATCTCAACAAGATTTCTACGTGAACACGTCACCCCAATCTTCACCACCAATTTCACCTAGAAACCCTCTTGGTTTTCAAAACTATCGTACTCTGATCTTTTCCCAAAATCAGCATTCACCGCAATTTAACCTCCCTATCAACTTTTTCAAAATACCCCTACTACTCCTGGAACTAATTTCCAAAATCAAGTTTATGGGATGCAAGAAGCAGGGCAGAGTATTCCCGTTTTCCAACCGAGACAGAACACACTTCCAATCAATCAACCTACATTCCAAAATCAGCCCCAGTACCATAATCTGTACACCAATCAATATCACAACCAAACCCAAGTTCCACCTGCTCAGCCACAACCAGCCCCCCAGCCTAGACAGCAGGCTCCTCCACAAAATGCTTATTTACCGCACAATAATCCACTCTATCAGCGCCAAACCATTGCAGAGTTCCTTACACCAGACGTTTCGGAGTATGATAGCATTCAAGTGCCGGGAATTACTGCCAACCATTACGAGATCAAGCGGCGGTGATAAGCATGGTGTCTAATAACCAATTTGGAGGAGGCCCTACAGAAGACCCAGTGGCGCATATTACCCGCTTTCTTAGGATGTGCCAGACTTTCAAGATACCTGGGTTAACTGATGATCAGGTAAGAATAATGCTTTTCCCTTTCTCATTGAGGGAAGATGCGCATAGGTGGTTGGACAACAATCCTCACCACCACCTCCAGACTTGGGAGCAGCTGCATAGTGCGTTTATTAAAGTGTACTTCCCTACGTCAAAGGCCCTGAAGTTGAAGAAGCAAGTACAAGAGTTCAAGCAGGGATCTTTAGAAACACTGGCTGAATCATGGAAGAGATTCAAGGTGCTGAGAAGTGCTTGCCCTCAGGGAAATTTGACTAATTGTGAGGTTCTTTTCTACTTCTATAGCGGACTCAACAATGAAGGGAAGATGATGCTGGATGCTTCGGGTGGCGGAGTCTTTCCTAATTTACCATCTGAGGTTGGGGAAGAACTAGTGGAGAAGATTGTTTCAAATAATGCATCTTGGTACAGTGACAAGAGTTCTCCTCAGCAAAAGGCTCCAGGTCTATACGAGATCAGTGATAATTATGCTCTCTCTGGACGAGTAGATACATTGGCAAGCATGGTACAGAAGCTCATAGCCAGCGTGGATGCTATAGGGAAAAAGGTGGATCTTGCTCTCTCAGTGCCCAGTGTTAATATGGTAGCCCCCGGTCCTATTAGTCCTTCTTGCACTACATGTGGGGGACTCCATTGGCCGCATGAGTGCACTATGATGGCACACTCGACAGCCCCTGGAGTAGAGCAAGTTAATGCGATTTATTCTTAGCGCCAGGGCTACTACAATCAGCCATACGGACAGCAGCAGTAAGGGAATTACAGGCAAGGAAAACAGCAGCAGCAGCAGTCTAGGAACTATAATCAGCCCCAAGCACCTCAAGGTCAGCAACAAGCACCTCAGCTAGTGCAAGGGAGTTTCAGGAGGGAGACTGAGCAAAAATTTTCTAGCTTGGAAGAAACGCTCAAAGAATTAGCGCAAAATCAACTGAGGGCGGACTCAAGGATGCAAAACATTGAAAATCAATTGGGACAGCTTGCAAAAGCCATATATGAAAGGCCTCAGGGATCCCTCCCTAGCAACACCGAAAATAATCCAAGAGAGCAAGTTCACGCAATCACATTGAGGAGTGGACGGGATCTGGAGCCTGCTGCCATAAAGATGAAAGTTGAAGACGTTGAACCTGCTGTAGTTGTTATTGAGGAAAAAAGGAAGAAGAAAAGAAGGAGGAGGGGGACACGGTTCCAAAGCAACCCGTTCCAGTCAAAGCTTACAATCCCCCCTCCCATACCCGTAACGCTTAAAAGCGAAAAGTGACACTCAGAACTTCAACAAGTTTTTGAACCTCTTCAAACAGGTCCAAGTAAACGTACCATTCATGGAGGCGCTGCAACAAATGTCAAAGTACGCCAAGTTTATTAAAGAACTCCTCTCTAACAAAACAAAGTGGGGAGAACCGAAATCAATGGTGCTGAATGAAGAGTGGTCGGCAGTGGTGCTAAAGGAGATGCCTAAAAAGCTCAAGGACACATGTAAGTTCACAATCCCTTGCTCCATAGGAAGTGAGATTTTTTATAATACTTTAGCTGATTTGGTTGCAAGCATCAATTTGATGCCCTATACCTTGTATCAGAAGCTTGCACTAAGTCCGCTTAAACCAACACGTATGTGCATACAGTTGGTTGACCGATCGGTCAAATAACCCCAGGGTATTTCTGAAGATGTGTTGGTTAAAGTGGACAAGTTTGTTATTCCCGTTGATTTCGTTGTTTTGGATATGCCCCAAGATCTTGATGTGCATTTAATTCTTGGAAGTTCCTTGACTCTTATTCGCCTGTTTAAAATGTTGACTTGAGTTGATTTGAGCACGTGTGACCCTTTTCTCTTTACCCCTTGTGCATAGTGCATTTTTTGTCATTGAGGGCGATGCCAAAGTTTAAGTGTGGGGGAGTGAATTGGGCATTCGGGCAGTAGTTGTCACATGAGATTACTAGAGTTAGCATGCGCAGGTGTTAGTTGTATAATCATAGAAAAGTCATGTCAATTTTTTTTGAAATTTTTTCCTTGTGTCTTTGTGAGCTGGCTAGCGTGTTGACTATGGTTTTAGAACATCTTTGAAGTGTTTAGGCTTAAAGTGTTTGCACTATAACCTAGTTTTTGAGAGGATGAAGGCATTAGTCACCCATTGAATCATTCCACAAATCATCCACCTGACCTGAAAAAGTCCTTTAGGAGAAGCCATTTTGAGCCTGATCGTTTATTGTTTACCCAATTAATTAAAGCTCTATAGCCAAATGGGCTGCTTCCTTACCCGTGAATATTTCTGACTTAGTCTTGATGTTTAGGGAACTAAGGAATTGATTTGTTAAGTTTAGGGAATTTGTGTAGGAGCCAATTTTGGCACTGTTCCTATGCTCCAAATGGGCTAAAAGCGATCACTTTTTAGGAATTTGATATTTTCGAGGATTGCATTGTAGGCATGGATTCATTTTTAAATGAATGAACTTTAATTGCTATTTTTCCTTGGTGAGGCAGAGATTAGAATGAGGTAATGTCTAGTGAGAATCCGAAAGGTGAAAAATTAATATAGCTAGATCTCTTATCTTGTGAAAAAGAGAATGGGAGCCCCGGTCAAAAAGCGTAATTGTTTTGCACAATAATATGAGACCTTGGGTGTCTTTTGAAAGAAATGGTGCTCTCGTGCCAACATGACAAGGAAAACCGAACTTATTTAATGAATTTGGAGGTTTTAGAAAAATTAACTTTAGTCTTCGCGTACTTCAAGTATAAGTCAAAACACTAATGTGCCGTGACGGTTTAGCTCAGTTGTACACCGTGTCTACTCTTTTCATAGGTTTAGATATTCTTCCTATTTGGATTTGGTGTTCTAATGATGAACGATTGCCCATTAACTCGGGTTTGAGATGTTCGTCGCGCGATGGTTCTGTTCACATACGAACTTAGTTTCTTTCGTTAATCCAGCTACTGCAGTAGGTTGGAGTCTTTTCCCTTGTGTTCTTGGTTGATTCTATGTTGTTCTAGCTATTTCGCTGCTGTGTTTTGGCCAACTCGTTCGTGTGTGAGTTTATCCCAAATCGTTTTGCTGCGATTTTGGGGGAAATTCGTACTGTGGAATTTATGACAGGCAAAAAGCAGAGTAAGGGCGTGTCAACGCCGGCTGTGAATACCAGGTCTCGTGCTGCTGTGGGCTTCAACGTTTTGGATGGGTTGGACACTAATTTGCCAGCACTACATGCTGGGAAGCCAGGGAAGAAGACTTTTGTAACGTTGGCAGGTTCTGGTGAAGACAGTAGCTCTGTATCTGCGGATGTTTTGTTGGTAGGCTCCAAACTTGGAGACCAAAATAAAGCTCCTGTGACAGCAGCTGCTATTACTGGGAACACATCACCTGCTATTGGTTCTGGGACTAAATCACCGGCCATTAATTCTGAGGTTTTAACTGCTGCGAAGATACCACCTGCTACCAACGCAGATAGGGCCAAAACTCTGACAGGTAACTTGGATAAGGCGCAGGCAGCTCAGGCAATGCTAAGTCCTGTTATTTCTACTGCCACGGCTGAGCAGTTTGCCCCAGGTGTTACGGCTGCAGCTGCTCCTTTGATGCCAAGTAAGCCAAAACCTGCTGTGACAACGTTGACAGGTGCCCAAAAATCTGGGAATGTTGGGCTGATTGTGCCTTCACTGGATGCGCAAGATGAAATTACTGCTGGAGCTGCGGAGGCAGTAATTGATACTTAACAAACTGCTGCAAGAACAAAAGACGCGAAGCAGACACCCTGAAGCTCCTTGTTTAAAGACAACCGTGATCCAAAAAATGGGATTAAGTTGAAATATGTTCCACCGAAAGGTGAAACACTTGACTTTGGGGACCGAGTACTACCCTCGATGGTTGAAATGTGGGGATACTGTCTAGTGGGACACTTCACGGGAAATTTCCCCGGACTCAATGCGGTCCATGAATTGAGAGCTAAGTGGGGAGTCAAATGCCTTGTAAGGTCTCATAACAAAGGGTGGATAATTTTTAAATTTAAAAATGAAGAGGATATATCGAAGATACTACATGAGGGACCTTACACCGTGTTTGGAAAACTCCTAATGCTTAAAGAACTTTCGGAGGACTTCACTTTTGAGGATGAAGAATTTCTAAAAATACCAATTTGGATTAATTTCCCTAAACTACCTATGAGTTTATGGAACGATAAGGCTATGAGTGAGGTGCCATCTATGGTCGGGGTCCCAATAACCACGGACAAGATCACTCAGGAGAGGACAAACAATGATTATGCTAGAGTTTTAATAGAGGTTGATGTTTCAAAGCCACCACCACTTCATTTTCCTATACGACTACCTTCCCTAAAGGTAATCAAACAAAGTGTGCTTTATGAAACGTTTCCTAACTATTGTTTTCATTGCAAAGAATTTGTGCACCACCCATTTATCTGTAAGAAGTTTGCCAAACGGGGTGATGGAGAAAGAGAAAAGGAAAAAAGCATTGAGAAAAATGAGAAAACTGAGAAGGTGGCCGCTGCGCCACAAACTGCTGTTGCCCAGGGGTCTAACCCGACCAGGTTAGCCCCTGACCGGACCGGGTCTCTTGCCCAGACAGCTGCTGCCACTGCCCAGGAGATTCAGACTGCCCTGGCACCTAAACTTGCTGTACAGCCGGTTCCAAAAGCTGCTGCAGCAGTGCAAACTGAACCGCCAGTGGTTAAAGAAAGAGTAAAACTTGGCCAGCTTCTGCCTCAGTGGCTAAAGGATATGCAAACGGAACATGAATCTTCCGAAGATGAAGACGCCGAGTTCTTTCTGGAAGATAATGAGAGAGTAGTAATGGATGAGACCGACTTGCATCAAGACGATGTGGTAATCAAATGTGAGGTGCTGAAAGGAAAGAAGCTCAGGTTATTTGTTAAACCATTTAAATTTGTGCAAGCTAGTGTGATTAGAGTGGATTCTTCTCTTCGACTTACGGATGAGAGATTACCAGGAGTTACTAAGAAAAAAGGGGAGGTTTGCTTTGACCCAAAGTTTACTACTCCTTTCCGACTTTTCTTTGGGTGTTAATTTAGGGATTATTTTGTTTGAGCTAGGTTTTGTGGGTTTGTTTGGTTCCTAATGTGGTTTGGGCTCAAAATTTGTGTGAGTGTGAGTCTTGATTTTGTGGTATCCCGTGATGTGGGATATGCACCTTGATTGTACACGTGATGCATTGTACTATGCTATTTTTCTGGATATATATACTTACATTTTATCCAAAAAAAAGATGATTCTTCCTAAATTGTGGCCCATTGAGTTCTTTGATCCTAAGAATAGCCCTGAAGTTCCTGAATGCATTAAGTCTTTGTCAGGTTGTTCCAAAACTCTCAAAGGAATGGGACTATTTATTACCATTCACCATTCACCATCACCTTCACAAGTCCTTCTGATCAACATCTAGTTTATTTGTGTATGCTGTCATTACTTTAAGGATGTTGTGAATAATTTTGTCAAATAGTTTAGCTTGAGTACAAAGATGTAGTTTAGGGAAGAATTTTCTTAATTTAGTCTTTCTATTCCGTGAATATCCCTTTGACTATGTGTGCATGCTAATTGTTTTAAATTTCGTGTGGTGATTATCGTAAGTCCCGTTGTTCAGTTTGCTTGAGGACAAGCAAAAGCTTAACTGTTGGGGAATCTGATAAGTCCACATTTAGACATGCATTTGATGCGTGTTTGAATCGGGTTTGATGGTTTTCCCTAGCTTTAAGGTGTTACAAGTCTCAATTTTAGCTCAAGTTATGTCTACCGTGCGTTGGTTCGAGTTTTGTGTCATTTGGAGTCAAACTGAGGATTTTAGAGTTTGGAACCAGCGCTTGAGAAGAAATCAGGATGAGTTAAGAAGAATTCAAGAGTGATTTGACAGGTTTGGAGGTCACCGGGAGGTTCACGATGAAGATTTGAAGGAAAAAGAGCTCCAGGATTGGCTACAGGATCAAAAGAAGATGAATGGAGCTTGAAATCGGCAATCAGGATGACCTTCTGTCAATCGTTCAAGCATATCTCTTTGTAGAAACATCAATCTACACGACTAAAAGTCCATATGAAAGCTGAGAGAAAGAAGGTGAAAACGGACGATGAAGTCAGATGATCTCTGCTGCAATTTCAGAATGATACCTTCCACCGTTTTGATCATATCTCTTGATTGGATGATTTAAATCACATTTAGCAAATTGGGGTGGATAGAGGACTTCATTATCTACAACTTTCATGAAGGAAGGATTTCCAAAATTGGAAGATAAGTAGGCATGATCGTGCCCTCAAAGTCAGGCACGATCGTGCGTGAAGAGAAAGCATCACGGAGCTACTGCCAGGCACGCACGATCGTGCCTGGAGGGAGGCACGATCGTGCCTGCCCACAATGCACGTTTTTGATCCGGAGGCACGATCGTGCCTGCCTCAGGAAATCCCAATTCAGCTCAAATTTTACCGGGTTTTTCCTATTTAAACAGCCTGTAAACCCCTGTTTCAAGGGGGAGCTTAGAGAGAGTGCCTAATACGAAATTTAGAGGGCTTTTCAGCCTTTTTCATCAATCTTTTGGGATTCTTTGTAAGTTCCATCTTTTTAATTAATGAAAATTAATTCTATTCTTCCCAATTCTGTTAATTCTTCAATTATGAACTGTGAGTAATTTTAATTAGGGATTTAGGATTGATGAAGGGGTTGATCATGATGTATAACTAGATTCTTGATGGTTTAATTGCATGAATGCCATTTAATTTCTGTTCGAATAATTCAACTGATATCTTTTGTAACCTGGAACCGCGGCTAGAATTACAATTGCTTATAGAATAAATTAAGAGAAATCTAGTTTATTCTAGGACACATTCACACACACTTAATCGTTCGCTAAGAGATTAGTAGCAATTAAGGGGCCGTAAGCTCGCTCGTTTTAGCAATAATTTGGGATTCTGTCGCATGAGAGATCAACCTGGTCCCCTAAATTATTGTACTCTATGCTGCGTGAGTGGTGAGAACTTAGTAATGATAGCTATGCTCAATTGAATTAATTTCCTGTAATTAGGCCTGATCTGGCAGAAATCTGGTTACCCCGGAATCAATCCCTCTTCCCTTCATCATTAATTAGAAAGAACCCAATCAATTTTTTTTATTCGCTCATTCGCATTAATTTATTTTCCAAACCACCCAATCTCGCACAATTGCATTTTATTTTATTTTATTTCTTTTTAATCGTTGAATTTAGTTAATCTTTGATTCCCTTTTGTCCGTCCCTGTGGAGATGATACTCGTACTTACACCACTATATTACAATCTATTTTAAGTGCGAGAAAACTCACATGAGGGGTTTCAACCTAACTGACATTTCTTCTCCTTTTTTACATATGTAGAAAATACAAGTTACAAGGCTAATAAATGGGTGCGTACCAATGAGTGACTCCCCCCCGCTTAGTTTGAAGCACTTTCCCAATTGCTCTCTGCCATCATCACCGTTATAGTCACCATCATAGCCTCAATCGCCACCTCTAGATCCACCAAAATTACCTCACTGAGTGGGGTCATACCATGAGGGGTGTTGGATTGGAGTCGACATAGACAAGAAATACCCCTGATGATCAAAGTAGGCATATATAGGGCCGAATTGGAGGTAGGCCTTCTGAGGGTATGGTGAAGTAGCGTACGGGTTTAGGGTAGATGTGCCATTTGTAGAAATTCCTTCCGGTGGCATCTAATAGAGTAGATTTAACATTTATTTATTGTTGGGGACTCTTATTGTAATTATAACATTTATTCTCTTTATATATATCTGTCATGGCTACCATTATGGTTAAGCCTGGTAATTATTCTCACATGGTATCAGAGCCCTAGGTTTCTACCGTAATTTTTCCGTCTCCAATGTCTTCGGACGACTCTTCTGCAGCGCCAATCAACACCTCCTTTGCTTCTTCTTCAACCTCCAGCAGTACGACCACCGGCAGCATCTTCACCTCCACTGCGCCAATCTTCTCTTCGTCGTCTGCTGTGTCGGCTACCAGTGCATCAAGCCCTTTGGTGTTCGGTGCTCCTCACTGAGAGCTTGCAGATGCCACGGAGTATAGGAGTATGGTAGGTGCATTACAGTATTTAACTTTGACTAGGCCAGATATTACTTTTGCTTTACACTTGGTTTCTCAATTTATGCATGCCCCACGTACTTCACATATGTTGGCTGTTAAGCGCATTTTCAGGTATCTACAGGGCACTTCCACGCATGGACTTCTTCTACAGGCCTCTCGTGTTCGCCCAACTCTTATTGCTTATTCGGATGCTGACTGGGCTGGCTGCCCTGATACTGGCCGTTCTACTTCAGGCTATGCTATTTTTCTAGGACCTAATCTCATTTCATGGCGTTCCAAGAAGCAGCCTACTGTCTCCAGATCTTCCACTGAGGCTGAATATCGAGCTGTTGCATTCACCGTTCAGGATACTCTTCATGTTCGCTCAGTGTTATTTGAGTTGGGATTCCCCATTCGCGACCCTACTATGCTCTACTGTGATAATATTTCTGTATCATATCTTTCAGTTAATCCAATTCATCATGCCCCGCAGTAAGCATATTAATATAGACTATCATTTTGTTCGTGAACGGGTGGCTCATGGAGATCTGCGTGTGAAATATGTTCCTACTCAAGCTCAGCTGGCAGATATTTTTACTAACTGTTTGTCTCCCCAACGATTTGTTCTTCATCGTGACAATCTGTGCATTGTTCCCCCTGCACAGCTTGAGGGGGTGTAATAGAGTAGATTTAATATTTATTTATTGTTGGGGACTCTTATTGTAATTATAACATTTATTATCTTTATATATATCTGCCAGGGCTACCATTATGGTTAAGCCTGGTAATTATTCTCACAACATCGTAGTAGCAAAAGCTAATCTCATGTGCATTGGAGACGAATGAGAGATCCAACAAACAATGTTCGACTATTGGTGAGTCATCCGTGTAGCCGAATTTTGTTGCTATAAGTGTGATCACTCCTCTGATCCAAATTTCACATTTGGTCGAACATTCTTAAGAAGATGGGCCCCACATGAAATTGACAATCTTGAAGTGCTTGGGGCGTTGAGACAAAACCATGGTTAACACACATTCATCTCCCATCCTAGCATGATGGTTATTCAGACGTCCAAACACACAACTTGCCAAAAAATTTAAAAAGATCTGGAGCACCAAGTGTTGAACGTGACTGATTGGATAGTTTAGATGCGCTAACACTCATGTGCCTGGTGATTTTCTTGCATAAGTCATGACAATAAGAGGTGTTAGAGAGAATTTCCTTATGAAGCAAGATGGGCAAACTAAAATGTTCCGCAAACTCACGTTGTGTGATAGAGTGTTCTTTATTGAATTGGTGAAACATGAGTTCGTCTTCTTTAAAAGCGTCAACATTCTTTTTATACTTAACCGTCCCCAAAACCTCATAAACAAGTTAGTCATTGGGGTTGCATTTCAACCCAATAATAGTCCATATCCAAGTGCCCAAAAAGTTGAAACATGGTACTGTGAAGTCCTAAAGCATGCAAGGTTTCATTGCAAAGAAATGTTGATGGATGTACCTGGCGCTCGATTTGTGCGATCAACTTTTCCACATGAGCGGAGGAGGTGAATGTGATGCTTTCAAAGCGGGAATCAGAGCCCTAGAGGTGGAGCCTTCCAGGCTAGACCTTTTTGGTGCCATGTCTTGCTCAAAGGAGGTGGTTTTTTGGAATTTTGGGGGTGGGGGTAGGGTTTCCCGACCTTGATTTTGGGGGAAATTGTGAGGTTTATGGGTATGAGGTGATGGAGGAGCACGAGGGGAATCTTTTGATGGTGATTTGGTGAACTTTGGTGAAGGATTGAGGGAGTATTGTTAGAGACAAGCTTTGGCTATGGAGGTTGGGGGAAGAGACAGGGTTGCATCGGGGAAGATGAGTGGGTTTGGGCGTTGGTTTAGGGATAAAAATCCCGATTACCCGATTAGGTATGGGATGACACCCGATCGAATGTCGTTGGCAGTGTATGTACTTCGAATTTCGATTTTTGAGCATACCCCATTGGGTATAGATTGGTACTCGATCGGGTTTCTGATGTCGTATCTCTAGGATTTGTATGGTGTGTATTTTGTACCACAAATCTGGAAAAATCTTGTCACTGGTGGCATCCTAAATAACTTTGGGTTTAAACTTATCTTTGAAGCAAATAAGTTTATTTTATCTAAGGGTGGTGTAACACCGCCCCCAAGTATTTGTACTTTATCAAATTATGTATTGAATCTTGAGAAATGAATGAACACATATTACGTGGCTGTAAATTTTTATCATTTCTTTTACGTGAATAGAAAAAATTCACGTGGGGCCCACACCGGAAGTGGGGGTCGCCCGATATTATCGGGACCACATATTATATTCATCTGGGCCTAGATAAAATGTATATGGTGGTGGATATCCTAATTGGGCCGTGGGAAAGGTATAGGGTAGACCGGCTGGTCAAACAAGGTCCAATTATCGGTATCGGCAATTTATGAGATAACAGCCCGAATTGAATTTCGGAGACTTCGAAATTAAAGTGTGAAAATGTATATTCATTATAAGGTCCAATAATGATGGAGAACATATGTCTTATTTTATTTGACCCGATAAAATAAAATATAATTAAAACAGTCCGGGAAATACAATTTTCGAGACCGATTGTAGACTCGGGGACACAAAGGGTTGACCTCCCACATAAGTGGGGGCCAACCCACGTTTTGGTCTTGCAAATGGGAAGGATAGACGCACAATGAAATGGGAAGAGGGGGTGTGAATTGATTGGGATCAAACAAATCAAAATAATGGGACCCCTCCCATATTATTTTGGTGAGAAATGCCAAAAAGGCATTCTCAATCACCCCAACTCAATCAGATCGTCAATCCCACCCAAGGAAGAGAGATAAGGTCTGTAAATACTCCATTTTCATCCACCATTTTCACACAAAGCAAGGGGAGGAAGAAGGAAGGGAAAAGAGAATAGAAAAGGGGAGGTTAGGGAGGAAAACTTGAGATTTAGAAGGTAATGACTCCATTAATCCCATTTCTTGTTCTTCAATCATCATATATGATTATACAGTCATATTTCACACCCTAGGATTGTTCTACACGTTTGGAAGTGTAGAATGAGGGGTTGGAAGGTAGTTCTAGGTCCAAGAACGGACTTAGAGGCCAAAGTGACCGGTTCGCCGGAAAAAAACCTTTTGGAGGTTATTTGTATTAATATGGGATTTATAATGATAAAACCTTGTTATTAACATGTCTAAGGTATTCAAGGAACATTCACGGAGTTAAAAGGGTCGCCGGAATTGTCGCCGGAGTTCGTTGAAGTTCGCCGGAGTTTCGCCGGAGCTCAATAAGGGAGGCTAGAACTTCATATGCTTTATTTAAGGTGAGAAGACGGCTTTATGCTTTATAACTTTTGCGTGAGGCATGAGATTACCTAAATTAATCAAGTATATGCTTTATGAATTGATTAATGATATTAAAGTATGTGCTATGTCATGTTAAGGAATATAACATAGTTGAAAAGCATGATTTATAGGTTTGATTAGTGAAATCATTATAAATTGATATGTTTGATGTTCACAGGACCCAAATAGGTATATTTGGATTAAGGACGTCAAGGAGTACTTGCATGTAAAATTTCACGTTAATTGGACTTCGTTCGGGCGGTCAAGCGGGCGTTGATCGCCAAATCAACTGTTGTACCCGACCGGGTATGTACTGAAAACTGCCCCAGGGGATCGCTGCCTCCTATACCTGATCGGGTATAGGTAGGTACTCGATCGGGTATGTATTGAAAATATGCCCTAGGGGCCGCTGCCTTCTATACCCGACCGGGTATAGGTTGGTACTCGCCCGAGTATTGGGGTTTACACCCAAACGGTCAGTTTTGAATGAGTATAACGTGGGGCGTTCGGATGAGAACCGTCCACGTTGATTATTAAGGATTATTATATGACTATAGGGCCAGGTATTGTCCATAGTTAAAGGAATGAAAGGTTAGCCATATCCATGTTAGGGTTTGGTAAGGAATAAGGTTGGGGTTCAGTATCCCCGGGACGGTAAATGATCCTGATACTCAGTTGGGGTTGAGTATCCCCGGGACGGTAAATGATCCTGAAACTCGGTTGGGGTTGAGTATCCCCGGGACGGTAAATGATCCTGAAACTCAGTTGGGGTTGAGCATCCCCGGGACGATAAATGATCCTGAAACTCGGTAGGATATTATAAATGTAGAACATAGCTGATGAGCTAGGTATCCGGGAAAGGAGTGAGATAAGTCAGGTAAGAACTTTATCTCTAAAAGACTCTTTAAAGTAAATGACCTACGGGCTAAGTATTTTACAAGTATATATACATTAGGTATCATCGGGTGGATGAGAGACATCTATATATATGTAACATAAGGCTGGCATTTTAGACCGAAAAACCGAAAACCGAACCGAAAAAAACCGAACCGCTTTGGAAAAAAACCGAACCGAACTGAACCGATTGAAAATGGGACCCGAAAATTGGGACCCAATAAAAAATGGTTCAGACTCGGTTTATATTCCTAAAAAATCGGTTCAAACCGAACCGAACTGACAATTTTTATATTAGTAATAATAATAATTAATGACAGTTTAATACAGGTATAATATTAACCCGAGTACGAATTGGACGTATTGGACGAGTAGCGAAGTTGGGCAGCCGTAGCCCATCCTCAATGAAACGTCGGGGAATCGATTCCCTGTCTGCATACGTAATGTTTGATTTTTTAGAATTGGCTTCTTTCCTCTTCCATTTTGTCCCACACCGGGAAATGAGTAGCATCCTCCTCCAAAATCATCAATATAAACTAGGTCCTTCATTTTAGAATGGCAAGATACATTCTAGGCAGCTAAGACACGTTCTAGGTTGCCATTAGGCTAATTGGGCTCAAAATTTAACATGTTCCAATGGATTTTAGTCTATTGGATATTAGTTTAAATTTAATTATTACAACTGAGTCGGTTTTTTCATGTTCCGGTAAACCGAACCGAAAAAATCGGGCACCAAAAACCGGTTTCCGATCTTATATCGGTTTGGTTTCGGTTTTGTTAATTTTGTAAACCGAAATATCGGTTCGGTTCGGGTATATGGTGAATCGGTTCGGGACCCGAACCGAACCCAGCCCTAATGCAACATCCTATTTTTGGGTCTCGTGTTTGAAACATTAGTTATTCCTCATATAGCCTGCTTGTCACTAGTACTTCTATGGAGTACTGACCCCTCTGAGGGGCCTCACATTTTTTCAGATTAAGGCTAGAGTCCTACTACCTGCACCTTTGCCTAGGGTGATTGATCAAGGAGGAAGACGTGGTTCGTGCTTCCATTCTTATTTAAAAGCTATAAATTGCTCATGGATATTTGGACAATGTTTTCCTTTAAAACAGTTGGGGACCTGCGTGCCAGTGTTTGCCACGTGTGGCTAAATATCAAACATATTGATGGTCCCGGATAGGGTAAAAGTCTAGAGGGGGGGGGGGGGGGTGAATAGACTTTTAAATCTTTTTCGACTTTTGAAAGTTTTCCCTCTAAGAGAGTTAATCTATAAACTTTTGAGAGATTTATAGATGCACAGCGGAAGTCTTTACCCTTTGTGTAATGAGTGTTTAGCCACTTTCTAACTTGGAGAGTGTTTGGCTTAGAATGCTAGCAGTTGGCTTAGCAGGTGGCTAAGAGCAGGGAACTGCTGAGGCAACTGCTCAGGAAATGCAGAGTGTATGATGAAGGTAGAGATAGTTGTTTGATGAGTATGGTGTGGCCTTTTGGTAAGTATGCTTAAATGAAGGGAGACTAGCTTTTTGCTGAAGC